CTGAGATTACAGGCATGGGCCACTGTGCCCAGCCTTAAAGCCCTTAATTCAGTGTTTTCCAACATTTTATGAGGGAACCTCTGACACTAGAGTTGCTTCAAGGTTCTTAGTAAAATGTGGGTCTTTTGAGCCCTTCTCCAGACCTAATGAATCAGAATCATGGGATGGGACCTGAAAATCAGTATTGTATACAAGTTTCCTAAGTGATTCTATTTATACTTAGGAACATAGTGACCAACTGAATTAAATTTTTCCCCCTTTATTTCTCATCTTCCTTTCCTTTTTTTGAGACGAAGTCTCACTCAGTCACCCAGGCTGGAGTGCAGTGGCGCAATCTTGGCTCACTGCAACTTCTACCTCCTTTGTTCAAGCAATTCCCCTGCCTCAGCAGCCTCCCGAGTAGTTGAGATTACAGGCACCACCATGCCCGGCTAATTTTTTTGTATTTTTAGTAGAGATTCACCATGTTGGCCAAGCTGGTCTAGACTCCTCATCTCGGGCAATCCATCCACCTCAGCCTCCCAAAATGTTGGGATTACAGGCGTGACCCAGAATCCCAGTCCTAGAATTTCTGATCCAGTCCTAGAATTTCTACTGCATGCTGGATAGTTTCATATGTCCAATATGCAACACAGCACAACCCAAATCATATGTATTACCTTTCTTAACCTCTACTTCCCAAATTAAGTTCTTTTAATTACAAATCATTTTTCTACAAAGAATTGGTATGTGAATTTTTGCTTACATCAAATAAAATAATATAACATGGAACATAGTATAATATAGCAAAATGTACACAAGGTTTGAAGTTAAAAAGATAACTTACAGGTTCTCACTTGGCCTCTAATTGTTGTGACGTGCAAATTTCTTTACTTCTCTGAGGCATATACCATTACTTACCTTAGCTAGTCAAAAATTTTATATAAAATGCCTAACACGGGGACATGTCATGGAAAGAAAATACCAAGAGGCTAAGGGCATGAGGCATGGATTCGAATCTAGCTGTTGAGATCTCCCACCACTAAGTAGCTGTGTGATCTTGGGCAACTTATTAAACTCTCAGTTTCCTCATCTATAGGTTGAGGATAAAATAACTTACTTCATTGTGGCGAGAATTAAACAAGTTCTTAAGTGTCAAGTATGTACAACTCTACCTAGCACCCAAGAAGAGCTTAAGAAGTCATTTATTTACTATTAATAAATGCTAATTTACCCCTTTCCCTGCTTTGTCTTGTCTTTTGCTCTTCTGACATCTAGTATATCGTTTTCTAAATAAGAAGGAACTCTATAAATACACCTTGAATAAAATTGCACAAAGTTTTGCACATATGGACTTTGCACAAGCTTTTTCTCACATCTTTAGGTAGGCCCAAGTTATTTTTTATTTATTATTATTTTTTTAAGATGGGGTTTCACCATGTTGGTCAGGCTGGTCTTGAACTCTCAACCTCAGGTGATCCGCCCACCTTGGCCTCCAAACTGCATGGATTACAGGTGTGAGCCACCACACCCAGCCTCAAGTTATTTCTTGATGCAAGCCATCCTCTGAGCACATGACTCTTCCTGATTACACTGCTACCCTCTGTCTGAAAATGCTCGAGCCTCCCTGGCCTTATGCTATGGGTGCCAGGTTAGGTAACACTTTGTTCCAGATGCCTTCCCTGACCCCTCAAGCTTGGGCTAAAAGGTTCCTTTTAAGTTCTGAAAGTATCAGACCTACCTCTACCTGATCCCATTGTAGTTTAGCCAGGTGTGGTGGTGCTTGCCTGTAATCCCAGCTACTTGGGAGGCTGAGGCAGGAGAATCACTTGAACCCCGGTCTAAGTTGCAGTGTGCCAAGATTGCACCATTGCACTCCAGCCTGGGCAACAAGAGTGAAACTCCATCTCAAAAAAAAAAAAAAAAAAAAAAAAAAAAAAAGAGGAAAAGAAACTCTAGAACTGGAAGTCAGGAAAGTTAGGGCTTATGAGCCACCTTTAGGAATCACCTGGAATAAGTGAATTTTGATGAGTTGACAGTAAGTGAGCTTACTCAGAGAGGGGAGAGAAACTGGCCCTTTATTGATTCCTTGGAGTAAGAGTGAGTGAAGGTAGCAGAAGAGGATTCTGCCAGAAAATAGAAAAATGGAATTGCTTCTCAATTATGCAACCTCACTTTTGTTGCTCTTGCTCTCCGTCTTCCTTACAAGGAGATGAAGAGATTTAATATGATTGAAGCGAGTCTGTCCTGTTGCAAACATTTACATTCTTGTTGACCCCTGGGAATTTGGTCAATGTTACAATTGTCCTATTGTCTAGATTCATGTTTCTACACATACCTGGCTGAAGCTCTTCCAAGAAGAGTAGCAATGATTATTCTCACATGCCTGCAGACTTGTCTATCATCATATTTCTGAATAATAGAGTAGTGAGCTTTTTATATATAACATTTGATGCTACTTAGTGATTCCATTTTTTTATATTGTGAGTTTATATGAGAGTTTGAATAAGTTATACTGGGTAATTCACAGTTCTGAAAAATATATGCTTTCTCAATAACTAGTCTTGAGACTGTAAGATAAGCATTCAGTTTCTGTACTAATTGTGTTTCAGATAAAATTTAAAGCTATGTGCAATTTTATAGAAGACATATTTATAGAGTTCTTTTCATTTAGAAAGCAATATATGAAATACCAGATGTTGGAAGGATAAAAGACAAAGTATATCTGTCCTCTGACTTCAGGTATCTTGCTATTGAGAAGGAATTATAAAATTATGATAAGTCAGGGGAAGCGACTTATGCTGATTAGGAATAGGGCTAGGGCAGTTTGGAAAAGGGCTATGTGTAGTCTTTCACTTGAGTCTTTAGAGGTGAATAGGTTGAGTAGGGGATAACGTTTGAAATGGAGTGAAAAAATATATGATGTATCATGGGAGGAGAAGCTGATTATGACATAATTAGAGATTCTAGATCTCTTTTCAGAAATCAAAGTATCTATGTGGTTAGGCTTTTTACTATCAGAGAAAGAAGTTACAAATAAGCCAAGAGGGAATACTGGAATAAACCTTGTGATGCTGGATTGGAGTCAGAAGTATCAGATGAATTTGTAGTTTATAAAATATGTATAGGCGGATACAGAGCTAATTAAAGAAATGTGTGTGTATAGACCAGGTGTGGTGGCTCACACCTATAATCCCAGCACTTTGAGAGGCTGAGGCATGACGATCACTTGGTTCCAGGAGTTCAAGACCAGCCTGGACAATAAGGGGAGACTGTCTTTACAAAAAAATCTAAAATATTAGCCAGGCATGGTGGTGTGTGTCTAGTCCCAGCTACTTGCAGGCTGAGGTGAGAGGATCACTTGGGCTTGGGAGACAGGTTGCAGTGAGCTGTGATTGCACCACTGTGCTCCAAGCCTGGGTGACAGAGTAAGACCCTGTCTCAAAACAAAACAAAACAAAACAAAACAAAAAACAAAGGTTGTATATACATGGGTCTGTATACAAACATATAATTCTTGGTTTTGTCTACTAAAATCAAGAGAGCCTAGAAGCAGTGACATCATCTCAGGGCAATGAGCATAACTAGTTGTGCCCAGATGTTAACTTCTCCCATAAAAGAAAATAGGGCTCCTTGGGGAAATGACTGATCCTAGGGCTGAAGCATGGCAAATACAAGATGAGCCTGGAATATCTTGTAGTACTAGAAAGTAAGGAAGTGCTAAAATAACAACAACAACAACAACAAACAGAGGGCAAGTTGAGAGAACACTGGAGCCAAGCTGAAAAGCTCTAAATGGCCAGAGCTGGAACAATTTGAGCAACAAAATAAAGATAATATTGGATTATAACACAGGAAATACAATAAATATCTATGAAACCATACTAATATGAATAAATGGTTGGGCCGACCATGGTGGCTCATGCCTGTAATCCAAGCACTTTGGAGGCCAAGGCAGGTGGATCACGAGATCGGGAGTTCAAGACCAGCCTGACCAACATGGTGAAACCCCGTCTTTAAAAAATAAATAAATAGGCCGGGCGCAGTGGCTCACGCCTGTAATCCCAACACTTTGGGAGGCCGAGGCAGATGGATCATGAGGTCAAGAGATCGAGACCATCCTGGTCAACATGGTGAAACCCCGTCTCTACTAAACATACAAAAATTAGCTGGGCATGGTGGCGCACACCTGTAGTCCCAGCTACTCGGGAGGCTGAGGCAGGAGAATTGCTTGAACCCAGGAGACGGAGGTTGCGGTGAGCCGAGATCACGCCATTGCACTCCAGCCTGGGTAACAAGAGCGAAACTCCATCTCAAAAAAATTAAAAAACCATAATGATAATTAAATGATTGACTAAATGAGGGAGAACAAATCTTCCTTATAGAAGAATGTCAATTAGCAAATGTAGAAACGATGAGACTAACAGAAAATCACCATTAGAATGCCAGTAATAATTGCTATAAGCAAGACCCACCCATGAATGCTAAAACTAATGAGAACAAGTTTAAGGAGAAACAGAGTCAAAGTCCTCCCTCATAGCCGGGTGTGGTGGCCCACACCTGTAATCACAGCAGTTTGGGAGGCTGAGGTGGGCAGATCACCTGACATCGGGAGTTTGAGACCAGCCTGACCAATATGGTGAAACCCCATCTCTACTAAATACAAAAAATTAGCTGGATGTGCTGATGCATGTCTATAATCCGAGCTACTCTGGAGGCTGAGGCAGGAGAATCACTTGAACCTGGGAGGCAGAGGTTGCAGTCAGCTGAGATTGAGCCATCACACTCTAACCTAGGCAACAAGGGAGAAACTACATCTAAAAAAAAGAAAAGGTTCTCCCTCATAATTATGAATTACAAAGGGAAAAGAAATAATAACTTTACAGAGAAGGAACCTGGCAGACACCACATTAACCATGTGATCAAGGGTAATGTCATGAGTTATGTCACATCAACATCCTGTACCCTCTGATATGATGCGCTGTGAAGGCCGCATCAGCTCTGAATTATTCCTTTCAAAAATGTATAGCCTTGAGTGGGTGGCTGAATTCTCCATTGCCCTTGGTCGCAGGGTCACTGTTGGCACTGGGCCTGCAGCGATCACAGTGAACTTACTTCAGATTGTGCAGGACGACTGGGTTCATGTTCTTGTCCCTGTGGGATTTGTCATTGGATGTTATTTAGACAGAAAGAGTGATGAAAAGCTAACTGTATTCCAGAACTAAGAGTATGTTATTTAAAAGGGAATCACGACCCAATGAAGAAGTTACCTGTAAGTAAAGACTGGTTGAATTATAGTGTTCCCATTTTAAAGTTCTGATAGAAATAAATATGTGTTGTTATTGAAAAAAAAAAAAAAACGTATAGCCCCAATCTAATCTGAGAAAACACAATGTTATTTAAAAACTTTTTTTGAGTATTGCAAGATGTTTCAGGCTGATCTTGTATTAGTCCTACCCCAGCTCTGGAATCAACCACTTCTCCAAGGAGCCTTGATTCTGTTTTATTGGATAAACCAATAAGCCCAAATTGAGGAACATTCTACATAATATCTGACCACTACTTTCAACAATATCAAGGCCATGTTTGACAAGGAAAAGCAGAGCAACTGTCATAGATTGGAGGAGACTTCAGAAGACATGACAACTAAATGCAATGTATGATCCTGAAACGGAAATAAGACATTAATGGAAAAACTGGTGGAAATTCAATAAAGTCTATAGTTAATAGTATTTTACCAGTGCCCACTTCTTAGTTTTGATAATTGTACTGTGGTAATATAAGGTAAAGCTAGGTGAAATGTATATGTTTTTGCAACTCTTATGTGTGAAATTGTTTCGGAATAAAAGGTGAATGCTCACTTCAGTCATACATATACTAAAGTTGAAATGATACAGAGAAGATTAGCATGGTCCCTGTATGAGGTTAACACACAAATTTGTGAAGCATTCCATGTTTTTAAAAAAAGTTAAAGAACTATTAACTTCCAAAAATATTTCCAGAATGTGAATTTAGTCACTATTTTGTACAGAAGTATAAACTTAGAAGTAAATGTAATTTTCACAAAAAACATTATGTAGCAGCATATTTCATGCTGCTTTTATTTAAAATTCCTCTTTGCTACTTGAAGTTTTTCAGTTTAGTTTTTTCTTTTTTTCTTTTTTTTGTGTTCAATTGCTCCCTTTACCTGATGACATTCAAATTGGGAAGAGTTGTTGGTAGAAAAACTTTAAAACTCTACAATGTATTTCTCGTTTTTTTTTTTTTTTTTTTTGAGACAGTCTCACTCTGTCGCCTGGGCTGGAATGCAGTGGTGCAATCTTGGCTTACTGCAACCTCGGTCTCCCGGGTTCAAGCTATTCATTCTCCTGCCTCAGCCTCCCAAGTATCTGAGATTATAGATATGCACCAGCAAACCCGGCTAATTTTTTGTATTTAGTAGAGACGAGGTTTCACTGTATTGGTCAGGCTGGTCTCAAACTCCTGATCTCAGGTGATCCAGCCACCTCAGCTCCCAAGGTGCTGGGATTACAGATGTGAGCCATTATGCACAGCCAACAATCTATTACTTAAAAATAATGTTTTTCCGTCCCTTCCCCTCCTCTCTCTTTTTGACAGGGTCTGGCTCTATAGTCCAGACTGGGTCCAGTGTTGGGATCATGGCTCACTGCAACCTTAACCTCCAAGGCTCAAGCAATCCTCCCACCTCAGCCCCCTGAGTAGATGGAACTACAGACACACCACCATGCCCGGATAATTTTCCATATTTTTTTTTTGGTAGGGATAGGTTTTCACCATGTTGCTCCAGCTGATCTCAAACGCCAGAGCTCAAACGGTCTGCCTGCCTCAGTCTCCCAAAGTGCTGGGATTACAGGTGTGAGCCAGCATACCTGGCCCATTTTTTTTTTTTTCCTTTTTCTTTTTTTTTTTTCCTTTTTTTTTTTTTTTTTTGAGACGGAGTTTCGCTCTTGTTACCCAGGCTGGAGTGCAATGGCGCGATCTCGGCTCACCGCAACCTCCGCCTCCTGGGTTCAGGCAATTCTCCTGCCTCAGCCTCCTGAGTAGCTGGGATTACAAGCACGTGCCACCATGCCCAGCTAATTTTTTGCATTTTCAGTAGAGACGGGGTTTCACCATGTTGACCAGGATGGTCTCGATCTCTCGACCTCGTGATCCACCCGCCTCGGCCTCCCAAAGTGCTGGGATTACAGGCGTGAGCCACCGCGCCCGGCTCTTTGTTCTAATTTTTTGAGGCTATGTTCAGGAAGCCATACTGCTTGAACAAGTAACTATCTCAGGAGTAAAGAAAGAGAGGAGGCCACTGAGATTGGATATATAAGAACAGGATTTTATTAGTGGCTCAGGGAGGGCTGGTTGCAGGGACAGCTTATTTGTTTTGTTTTGTTTTTTTGGGTTTTTTTTTTGTTTGTTTGATTTGGTTTGAGACAGAGTCTGGTGCTGTTGCCTAGGCTGTAGTGCAGTGGTGCAATCTTGGCTCACTGCAACCTCTGCATCCCAGCTTCAAGCAATTCTTTTGCCTTAGCCTCCTGAGCAGCTGGGATTACAGGCATGCACCACAATGCCTGGCTAATTTTTGTGTTTTGGTAGAGATGGGGTGTTACCATGTTGGCCAGGCTGGTCTCGAACTCATGAATTTAAGTGATCCACCCACCTCAGCTTCCCAAAGTGCTGAGATTACAGGCGTGAGTCACCGAGCTCAGCTGTTTTTGTTCCAAGCCTGGTTTCTGAGAGACACTTCCCTTGGTCAGGAGGGTCTGTAACTGAATTTATTAGAGTAAGTTTCCTGAAGCAGTTACTGGCCTCACCCTAAGCAATAGCTTGAGGAAGTAGATACCTGGGCCAGACTTCCCAGTGAGTCACTCTTCAACTTTTCAAGGATCTTTGTTCCAGAGGTCCTTATCTCCAAGCCACAGCTCACCCTAGGACAGTTTAGGGACCCATCTCAAGCTACCTGGTTTGATAAAAGAACATTGAACCTGGGAGTTAGAACTCTAGCTCTAATACTAACCAGCTGGTGATTTTGAAAAAATGATTGAACCTTTATGCCTCTTAGTTTCCTCACTGTAAAAAAAGGGATTTGGTTACTTCATTTATAAGCTACTCTCTTGAAAAAAATCTACCATTTGTATCTGAAACTGAAGGTATCTTTCTTCTCAACAAACAATTCCCCTTTCTATATATACCATTTATTTGTCATGCAACTATTCTTCTAGCCTCTGAAGCTAAAAATCTTAGTGTTTATTTTTGGTTTTTTTTTAAATACTTTTTATTTTTAAAGATGGGGTTTTGCACCGGGCGCGGTGGCTCAAGCCTGTAATCCCAGCACTTTGGGAGGCCGAGGCGGGTGGATCACGAGGTCAAGAGATCAAGACCATCCTGGTCAACATGGTGAAACCCCGTCTCTACTAAAAATACAAAAAAATTAGCTGGGCATGGTGGCACGTGCCTGTAATCCCAGCTACTCAGGAGGCTGAGGCAGGAGAATTGCCTGAACCCAGGAGGCGGAGGTTGCGGTGAGCCGAGATCGTGCCATTGCACTCCAGCCTGGGTAACAAGAGTGAAACTCCGTCTCAAAAAAAAAAAAAAAAAAAAAAAAGATGGGGTTTTGCCATGTTGCCCAGGCTGGTCTTGAACTCCTGAGCTCAGGCAATCCACCCACCTCGGCCTCCCAAAGTGACATGAGCCACTGCGCCCAGCATGTATTATTTTTGTTATATGTTTCATTTAACTCTTGCAGCCAACTGTCTTCCAATCCAGCAGTTCTTCCTTCACAGTTGATGTGGTAGTAGAAGGCATATGACTGGAGAGAATGGGTTTTGGAGTGTGAAAGTCTGAAAATGAAACTCTTATCTGAGAGAGACTGGGTGGGTGGGGAGAGATAATATACCTTTTTTTTTTCCCCCCCCTGAGATGGAGTATTGCTCTGTTGCCCAGGCTGGACTGCAATGGCATTATCTTGGCTAACTGCAACCTCTGCCTCAGGTTCAAGCAATTCTCCTGCCTCAGCCTCCTAAATAGCTGGGATTATAGGTGCCTGCCAGCACGCCTGGCTAATTATTTGTATTTTTAGTAAAGATGCAGTTTCTCCATGTTGGCCAGGCTAGTCCCAAACTCCTGACCTTAGGTGATCTGGCTGCCTCGGCCTCCCAAAGTGCTGGGATTACAGGTATAAGCCACCACGCCTGGCCCCAATACCACACCTTTAATGCAAGCCCGTAAAATCCAGATACTTATTTATGATAGAGAGTATTTCAGGTGGGCCCAGGATAACTTTTAAGTTTCCCTGAAAGCAGGAATGATTATCTCTGGTACTCGCCACTCTTGGAAGATACTTGCCACTATGCTCTTACTGAAAAATAATTTGTATGGGTTTGCAGCTAGGTAGTCTAGGGATTTTTCTACCCGGTATTCTACGTTGGCTAAAATGGTAGTTTTATTCATTATTCATTACTTGTAGTTAAAAGAAAATGGACTTTGGAATCCAATAATATGAGTTTGAATCCCAGCTCTGCTACTTTATAGCTAAGTGATCTTTGTAAAGTTAATATGTCTGAATCTCAATTTTGTCATCATAAATATAAAATAATAAAGCCAATCCTGTAGCGTGGTTGTGAGGATTGAGATATATGCTTTACATAAAGTAGATGTCTTAAAATGTTCGTTTCCTTCCAATAGTCGGATTTCTAACTTTAGCTTTGAATTTGTAGTTTCCTGTTTTATATCACTTGAATTTCTCTTGCTGACATGTATATCTCAACATGTGTAAACCAACACTCATTGTTTTTCCTCTTCTTTCTAGATTTACTGTCTCTGTTAATGGAATCAACAGCCTTCTAATCATTCAGGTTTGATGATGCCAGCTTTGATTCTCCTTTACCCTAACTTAATTTTATTCTAAGAACTGTCAGTGTCTCTCTTCCCACTTTTCCATTTCCACCTACCTAATTTAATGTAAGAATTTATACCTCGGGCTGGGCACGATGGCTCACCCCTATAATCCCAGTACTTTGGGAGGCCGAGGTGGGATCATGAAGTCAGGAGTTTGAGACCAACCTGGCCAACATGGTGAAACCCCATCTTGACTAAAAATACAAAAAAAAAATTAGCTGGGCATGGTGATGCGTGTCTGTAATCCCAACTACTTGGGAGGCTGAGGTAGGAGAATCACTTGAAACCAGAAGGCAGAGGTTGCAGTGAGCCAAGATCACACCACTGCACTTCAGCCTGGTGAAAGAGCAAAACTCCATCTCAAAAAAAAA